ACAACAGTCAGCCTCCTGCAAGAGGAGCTGACCTTCACATAAGTGCAGTGCTGCTGTTTAGCAGAGCTGGAGTTCACGTTAGGGCGTTTTTCCAGTTAAAGTGAAATCAGTGAACCGTGGAGCTGCTTGATGAGTTGTTCAACTTCTTCTAATCAAAGAAAATCTAAAGTGACAACCATAAACCTCCATAGCTTTCCTTACTTTGTGCCAGAGTTGGAAATTTGGACAGATATAGGGACTTGTTTTGCAGCTACAATATGAGCTGGTGTTTCACTTAGCTGTGCTATTTTGGTATGTAGTTGTAGCGTGTCATATTGCCCGGACATGCCAGGCACTTTCGCTGGCTCAGGAAAGGTGGACGCGGGGCTACTGGCTCTCAGAGGTCTGAGGAAGCAAAGGAGAAGTACTGTCAGAAGAACAAAGAGAAGCAAAAACATTTTCCTGTTTTGGTAATCCCGACGTTCCCAGAGGGTGCAAAGCCACAGCAGGCTGCCTGTTGTTTGTTGTCTTAATTCACAGATGGTGAACAGTGATGCTCAGTTGATGTGCTCGTTTAGAGTGAATTTAACCCTTTTCAGATGGATGCAGAAATTAGGACAAATCCATGTTTGTGGGTCAAAACCTCACACATGAGCAGCCACTAGCATCCCCCACCTCTCTGCTGTTTTAGGACCCCTAAAGCAGAAGCCTTTGGAAACACTGCTGACCCATTTTCATTTTCTGCACAGCCTGAAACTGAAACTTTGAGATACTTCCCGATCGTGTCTGATCAGTTACTACTTATCCTTCCTTTATGCGCCATGCTTCTACCCCATAACTGTTTTGTGGAAGGAAAAAAAGACATCTCTGGCTTGGCTAGCAGTATTGAATTTAAAATCAAATGCAGGTGTCGGTGACCTTCTGTTGTGATAATTGTGCAGGGAAATTCTGCATTCTTTCATGACAATCCTGCCTAAATGCACAGGAGGTACACTCGGTCTACTCGAATGGTGCATTTTCAGGCAGACGGACATGAATGGTATGAATGTGAAACACTCTTCTGGAAAGAGGTCGTTTGCATCAAGATTCTATTTTAAAATGAAAATGTATTCATGTGGATATGGCCTTAGACCATCTGCAGTCTTTGCAATCACATCTCCAGCAGTATCAAAGCTGACAGCATTTTAAAAACAACATATTCACACACAGTGTTTTTTCAGTCTTTTGAAATATTTTCTCTCCCACATGAATCAGGGTACATTTCCACAAATCGAAGGTCCTTGCTCTAAAATCTGTAAAGCCACTTGAGGCACATTTGGGATTTTTTTTTTCAATACTGGGTTTTATAAATGAAACTGACTTAATGTTGGGCACATGGTGCTCTAATACATCAGACTGGAGAAGGTGAAGCTGTCATCCAGCTGACTGATCTGTAGACGGACTCTGACAAACACAGGGTTTGTGAGAATAGGTAAAGTGGACTTGACTATAAAACTGGGTTCATTTATATTCTGATTATAGGAAAACTACTCTCACAGGACACTGTTAGGTACACATGTTGAATGGCTCATTAATTCAACCGTCTATCCAGCCAGTCACATGGTATCAACTCGGTGCATATATGCACATAGATCTGCTGAAGTTCAAACCGAACAAAAGGATGATGATTTAAGTGACTTTGAATGTGACATATTTGTTTTTTCCAGACAGGCATGTCTGAGTATTTCAGATGTGCTGGGATTTTCCCACACCAGATTTTAGAGGATGGTCTGAAAAAGGGTAGAAATATCAAAGGAGTGTTAGGAATGTAACTGTAACCACTGTAACAAAATGTATCAAACCTCTGCAGCAGCAG